GGGAGGGAGGGAGGGAGGGAGGGGCGAAGAAAACAGACCGGAGTGAAAGAGGCAAGTGGAGGCAAGTTATTGCCTCTCGAATCGGCTGCCGTCGGGACATAAACCCCGCGCACCGTGGCTTTGGCGTAGTGAGGCGTGGCGCTTCCTACCAAAGAGCTCCAGCAAACCTAGGAGGGCGGGAATAGATGGAACGCATGAGAGACAGAGAGTACAATTCTCGTAAATTCATTCGAAGAACTAGAACAGAAAAAAAACACGAAGCAAATTTGCAAATGAGTGAAATAAGAGAGTGGGGCTTGGGTCGTTGTTTCATAGCGCAAAAAACAATCACAGTCAGAACTAACACCCTGCTCGCTCTTTCACTACGAGAGGGGACGTGTGTGGACCACTGTGACTGTGCGTCTGTGCGTGGTTGAACAAGCGAGAGACTGAGAGACTGAGAGCAAGAGCGAGAGCTGGAGGCAGAAAGAGAGAGCGAGAGACGATAAGAGAGAGGAGATTACAGTGGAAGAGAGGGTGAGAGAGAAAGAGAAGGTAAGAGAAAGAGGACGGGAAAGGAAAACAGGACGAGAGGAGATGGGAGACGGAGAGGGAGAGAGGAAGGGAGGAAGGGAGAGAGAATGAGAGAGACGGAAGAAGCAGAAGGCGGGGTCACGCCCGTGCGTGCGTGCGTCCCAGAACACGCATTGACCTGGCCGCTCGGTGTCGCCTTGAGTCCCGGCGCGCCGCCCTGAGCCGCACCGCTCAGCTCGACGTGACCCCCCTCCTCCAGTATACCCTACCGGCCCCGCGGGGGCGCTGCGCTGGCGCGGCGCGGGGTCCCGCTGGCACTACCTGCACTACAGCACGGCACCATTCTATTTACCCGGGCGCCGCGAGGCGCTGTCTGTTGGCTGAGGAGTGAGCGAGGGCCTAGGAGAGGGGGTAGGGGAGAGGGGTAAGTGGGATCATCCAGGAACTACGTCCGTCATTCGCCGTTTCGCCTTCGCCGTTACGAACCCGCCAAGCTTAGCGTCAGCTCTCAGCGCCTGGTGGGTAGGCAATGCCTTGCATGCAGTGCAAGCGAGTGCCGCGGGCTGGTCTACCTGAGCCTCGCAGGCGCCAAGCTCAGCCTCAGCTCTCAGCGCCTGGTGGGTAGGCAATCACCTTGCATGCAGTGCATGCGAGTGCCGCGGGTTGGCCTACCCTGAGCCTCGCAGGCGCCAAGCCACCGGAACTTGCTGAAATAAGTCTGAGAAAAACGGCCGTACTATCTGGAAGATTCCTATAGGGCAGCGCTACAAGCATATACCATACGTAGGGCCCCGTGCGTTAACATTATGCACGGGGTAGCTGAGCGAAGTGCATTAAAATAACAGAAGACGTAAAAAATATAAAACAAAACTAT